AGAAACATTTATTACTGGTCATCTGAAGAAAGAAGCATGATGTACTCCTCTCACAAATACCATTTGCTCAGAATAGTGCCCTGGAGTATCTAGTTCAACAAAAACTACGGGACTGTACAGAAGTTTCAACAAGAACAAAACACTTGGTGAGCACGTGAACAGAACTGTAGGTGTGACCTCTGAAGACCTCATGACCTTGAGCACAGATATGCTCCTTCAGACCTAGCATGAAGGTGTCTTAAAAATCTCATTTTTTTCCATGACAATGGCTACATAACAGATTCGCACATTGTCAGATAAACATAGGAAAAATTTTAGGTCAGAAACCATCCACTCAAGAGGTCTCCTGGGTATAGATATTGGCACATTCTTGAAAAGAAGGATGCCTTATGCTTGTAGCATGTAAGTAATCTGTAGCCCTGAAAACATTTAGTTTAGGTGAAAAATATATTACTAAATAAAACAAAGATTAATCTCCTAAAATTTAGACATCACTATAAGCAAAAACCTACAGTTCATTTTAAGAATTAATATTATCTCAAAATGGATATAATTGGCGAATAAAAAAAAGTATTTTACTGTTCTGTCGCAACTACTCTCAGCTGAAGGTCATATTCCTAGAAAGGCAAAAAAGAAAGCAAGTGCCCACTAGTTAAAAAAAATAACAAACGGCTAAGTTGACACGCTGCTGGGAGACTGGGTTCTCACAGAGGAAATACCATAGCTAAACCTTTGGTAAAAAACAATAAAAACAAACATGTATGTCTGAAGGTGAAGGATTTCTATGTAGCCAGTTGTTGTCTGAGTCAGTTCAGAAAGTCGTATCTTCTCAAGTCCAGTAAATTATTATGAATTATAGGTAAAAATCACCTATTAGGAGGACCTTGACATACACCAAGTAAAAAAGTGGTACCCCAGGCCACAAGTTATACTCAGAAGAATGTTTCCTGATGTTAATCAAAGACACCCTCTTAAGAAATGAGAAGGAATACTCTATTTTTTGTAGTCAAACATGAAGTAGTTCAAACAGGATTGGCATTTGGACAGCAAACTTGACCAGATTCTAGAATTAGAAGGTCTCGGCATAGCGATCGAATCCTGGGATTCCACATTGAAGTAGCCTGATACCAAATTGTCTTGGATTTTTTTTTGTGCAGCGGGAGCATTCTTGCTGAAGAGAAATATCAGAGGAAAAGCACAGAACAGCTTTCCCAATTAGGGAAGCTGACAGCAGTCCCACAACCTGTCCATCCTAGAAACAGAAATACTAGCACTTCTTGTTAGATTCCAAGATGGACAGTTCAATTTTGGAGTGCCCCATTCATAAAAGGTGACTTCTAAGATACCATTCCACACTGCTTGCAATACATTAAATATTTAAGTCTATGTATTTGTATATATGTTTGGTTTCACTGCTCAGTGCATTAGTTTCACAGATCTTGTAGTATTTTATTTTGCTGATACAGAACTTGGTAGTGATACAGTATCTGCTGTAAGCAGGGAGGGCTGAAAGGATGAATTGATTCAGGAACGGAAGGTCTGGTGTATTACCTTTCAATGTGATTTCCAGAATGCTGTAATTTGCACTGAACATGAACTGCAAGTCTTGAGCTTTCATTTGAATTCCTTAAAGCAACTCCTTAGTCGCAGAGAAGCATGCATCACAACTAACCTGGAAAGCAAAAGTCTACTGTTCACATGATCTGACACCTGTTACCACTGCAAGGAGTCTCATAACTCCCTCAGTGTCATCCATCAAGAAGCAAGCTGGGAAACAGTTGAGCAAACAACAGTTGGTTCAAGTTACTTTTGCACAGATTTCATATAGAGGCTTGCAAAGCATCCAAAACTGAATTTTCAAACCGTCAAGCATGCACCTGCTAGCTAGCTGCAACTGGTATGGGCTGGTTGTAAATTTTTATAACATTTGGACTAAACAAAAGTGACTTGTTCTGATCTTCCCATTAATAAAGAGACATGACGCAGAACTACCAGTTAGGAACCTGGCCACAGCTTTTGCAGATAGACTATTTAGATGAAGAAAAATAGGGGCTTGGGAGCCCGGAAAGATGAGGGTGAAGATCCTGGGAAGTTGAGGATGATCCTGGAGATCAGAGATGCATGGAGATGAATGCTGGGGAATGCCCTGGGACCACAGCCTGTAATGCCTGAGACTGTTACAGGCATTTGCAGCAAGCAGCTGCAAAGCAGGTATTGACATGACTTTCTGCCCTGCCCTCCCAGACCAGCAGTGATTCCCTTGCTGGGAAGGAAAGTTGAGACCTCAGTAAACACACCACCAGAGTGGGGAGCAAGTGTGAGACCGTTGTGAGACAATCAAGCAGGGGTATAGTTCTAATCTCCTTGATTCTTAAAAAAACAAACAACAACAAAAAAAACCCAAAACCAAACCAGTATCCAGATCCACTACAGGCTGTCATTTACTGTCTCACCTGTGACACCATGACATACATTTGCTGATGATTCAACTACTTTGTACACTGTCTTTCGTTAAGTGGATGTGAGACTTCCACTCATTGCAGACAGCTCAGAGTCCTGGAAAACTGATGTAAAATGCCTGCTACTTTTTGAGTTTGCCATCCTGTGCACATGGCCACTTGAGTGTCCCCTCAGTCCAGAACAACACATTTATCTCTACCATAAACCAGGCAGAGAGAACTGAAAAAGCATTTAGGTACATACATTGATCTGGTTTTGACAACACAGAAGGGAATTTTTCACTTTGTGACAACCTGCTTGTCTAGAGCATATAGAGCAAGAGAAGACACTAAATGAAGTCAAATTTGAAGACAGAAAAAGAATTTTGGAACAAAGCAAGAAGCAAGTGTAAGAGGCCCTAGGCCCCAGGAAAGACATACCATTTATTAAAATACATAGCTGAAAGGTCAAGCTCTGAATCATTCATTAACAATAGGAATCTGTCAGGTTGTAAGGAAGCTCTCATTTGATCTGGAGTTAACAGGAGGTCTAACAGACTCAAAGGGTACGGTTTGAGCGAATGTCAATCTTGAGGCCCAGATACTGGAAAAGCAAATACATCAGAGGCTTCGAAAGATTGACAAACCATCCACCCCTAATAACCATTCACTGAGCTAAAGGAAAACCAACACTTCTGATACTCAGCAACTATCACCAGCATCAGAGAAGACTCTAAAAAGACATGGTCTGGACTGAAGGATCCTGAACTGTTATTAGTCATGCAAATGTTAGTGGACCATGCAAATGTAACGAGGAGTTGTAGCAATAAAATGTGTTCGAGATCTTGGAGACAGATGTGAACCAATCCTCTTCCTCCTCCCCCTGAATATCTCAAAGACTGTCTGCTGTAAAAGATCAAGTTCTGAAAACCCAGCCACAGCCAACTTCTTTTTTATTCTTTTTAATTATTAGTAGTTTTCAGGTGGAGGGTGTTGTATTTTGGGTTTGTTTTGGTTTAACACTAGGAGTGGCCACTGCAGAGCCCTGTACCCATGACTGCGCTTAAACAGACATCACAAAATACATGGACAGCACAGTGTCCGTTTCCAGGTAAAGCAGACACTGATGGAGACAGTTTTTCTTAGTCACTTTTTAAGACTCCTAGTGAATCCCAATCCTACTTTACCCGGGAAAAAAGAACAAAAACACACGCACACAAAAAAAAACCCCCTAAAACCCAATTCACATCAAGTAAGGAACTATGTTAAATATAAAGATACTGCCCCACTGTGCAAATTCACTGAGGAAATAACCTCTACTAAATCCTACCCACACATAGCAAGGCAGCTAGAAGAGTAAATCCTCGTCAATCTTTCCAATGATTAGCATGATAAAAATCTCAGAGCAGCATCAATTTTTGATGCATATAAAAAGGAAAAAAGCCAAAGGAAAGTATCTCTGGTGCCCATCAGATATATGGAAGACAGTCAAATGCTTATTTATATGAACCAGGAGAAAAGAAGAAAAAACAAAAGAAAAAAACATTCCTAGGAATGTTTCTGGGTATTTCAAGAATTTGTCAAGAATTACTATGAGTGAACAATAAACACTTTAAAACTATTCTCTTTTAATTTGTATCTTAATTAAGGGAGACTACTTTAAGTGGAACTTTCACATTCTTTTCTATCTAGTTCAACACTCTGTTGATGCCTGACAAGCAATGGCGACACTCCACATGAACTAAAGACGAAAACTTAAAGCAGGTTTTTCCTATGGACCTAAAGCAGGTTTCAGGCAGTTAATATACACAACTCTTTGCTGAACTGTCTCAGCTTAAGTCTAACCTGTATGTCTTCCTCCAATGAAGATGATGACATCCTTTTGTAGCCTTAACCTCTTGCTAGAGCAAGCAATGGGAGTCACAGTCCTTCAGTATACATGTATTTCTGTATTGTCCTTGCTATACAAGATAGATTTTCAATTTAATGTTACCTTTTAAAAAGCTGCTAAAAATCTCTGCTTAATTTCACTAGGCATTTCACGTCCTTTTGTTTTTTAGGGGAAGTTAGTGCAATGGATGATTAAGAATGTTTGGGTTTTAGAAGTTTATTACAGAAAACAATTACTTATGTCTACCGACTGCACAGTAGTCTTCCACAAGTCACTGCAAGAAAAAAAAAAAAATTCTAAAATATTGCCAGATTCATTTAAACTTTTTTATCACAGTGCAATAAAATGAAGTAAAACAAAATTCTGCATTGTATCTAGTTGTCCTCGTTTCGGACACCACTATAGTAATAGTGACACCACTACAGTAATATAGAAACCACTATAGTAATAAACTAACTCATAATATTAAACAATAAAAGGTGATGACAATAATCAACACATCAGTGGAAGCACTGGAGCCAGAAAGCCAAGATTCTGGTTTAAACCTTTTATAAGAAGAGATATTTCACAATACATACTGACAAATTGCACATAGCATTCCTACACAAATAGAAAGTAAAACTGAAAAGCACTGCCTTATTAATGAAAGCGACAAACAAAATATGCCTTACCTGAGTTATTCCACTGGGAGGGATCTTGTATGACTGCAGCTTCTGCTTCAATAGCTCAGGATCACTGTGGCGGAATGGGCACCCTGACAGTAAAAAACAAGCAAGCTAACAAACAAGGCTATTTACCCAGGAATTAGCACAGTACAGACTCAAGAGAACAGCTAAGCTGTTCCTAATTGTGTAACAGCTTATTAATAAGAAAGTTAATTGCCCATGTGTACAATTGCTTACTTTTTTCTTTTTTTTTTTCTTTTTTTTTAAATAATTACTCCACTGCATGGTTATCAGGGCACCACAGGCTCAAGAGTTACATAAAATATCCCAACATAAATAGGCCACAATTCTCATTCACTGACAGGAAAAGAGTTTTAGTTAGTTCCTTACTAACAATGCTAGCGCTGGCACATTTAATAGCTGTGAAAAAAATAGGAAAAGACAAGTAGTGAGAGGCAACTGGTCTTTAAAGCATAGTCCTTTGTAAAAATATTACTTTATAAATACCTCAGAAAGTTCCACCACCTTATGTAAGAGTGGGGGTTTTTTGTCCCAGAATTAGTTTTGAGACACAACTGAGCGAACAACTTAGTACTAGAATAACAATGGTGAAGCCGGTGCAGGTTTTCTGTGTTTAGTCACACAGAGGTAGGAGGTTTTAAAGTACCCAAGCAAACTTCAGAACTTCTGTACGATTGAATTTATATCTCAAAACACCTCTAATTGGTCACTTTTTAAAGCACCTGTACATTTAAAGTCTCCTCGCACTGCATGACACAATATATATAAAACCAGAAGCTATCAAGTGTGATCTAAAGAGAACAGTGCAAGACGACTGTGGCCTTGAAATTAAATACATAATTTAAGAGACTACAGGAGGCAGTAACTTCTCTAGCCAAGGGTTTCTGCTCGTTTTAAACTTTTTTTTTTTTTTTTTTTTTAAGGAACTCACCGTGATAATCCCCTTGACTTGGTGGATTGGACATGATAATCTTCATGCAGCTGTATGGGGTATAATCGGTTCTCCTCCCTTCTTTCCCATAGCTGTGGCGAATGCTGTAAGCATATCCCTTGTCAAACTAAACAAAAACAAAAGAATAAATTCTTACATATTGTGTCAGTGATTCTATCTGCTCTGCAAATAGAAATATTGGATAATAAAATAAATCTTCCAAACATATTCAAACTGAGAAAAATAAAAATTGAGTTGCTTGCTGCTAGCTTTGATTTTTATATTACATGGACTTGTACATGCACATATACATGTTTTAAACACACATCACAAGAGAAGTGTGTAACTGCATTGATTTAAGGTCTCTTCAGCTGATGTGGTAATTGCTTTAAAGATAAGATGACTTAAAGATCAAAATTTTGAACCCCACGATGTTAGTAAATGGAGAAAACATAGTAATTTAAAATCTTTCATAAATGTCCATAAATTGATTGCTTTATGAGGGCAAAAAATAGAAATACAGATTTCTTTACTCAGGTTCACATTCTTGTTCTCCCAAAGTATAATGTTTCACCTATACTTTGTTTCAGCACTGAAGTTCAATTCATTAGATTCTAAAATGGAACATACTTCACTTGTACAAAAGAGAAAGATTTTAGCAAATCTCTTTTGTCTACCAATAGACTACCAACTCCTCCAACAACATGAAATCTTCTAAAGTAATTTATATGTAAACAAACATTTATCTTGGCAGCTGAGTACAGCGCTATCAATATATCATTTTACATAAGTCCTGTGGAGAACACTCTGACATGAGTTCATGTTATTTTATATGTGGCAATAGGTGACATAAAATCTGTAGTAGAATCAGATAATTTAACATACAGATTCCGTTAAGTTGCATTAGCTACTATAAGACCTCATGGAACATTTGTTCAAATACCATACTTCTAGTTCTAAAAAACCCAAATGAGATAAAATAATGAAGCATCATATTTAGAATTAAACACCCTCAGTCTCTCTTCTCCTCAAAAAAGCTATGACAATACATAAAAGAACAATTGTGCTCTTGCTCAATTAAAAATTTTAGCATTAACCTTAAGTTCTGTGTCTGAATTAAATATAAACAAGTCCCATAAGAATTTATGTTTTCTTCTCAAAAACAACTTTAAAATAATTTTTTACTCTGATATCTAATATAAGACAATGTAATATACTGAGAAAAATCATTCAAGCATACAACTGGTAGCTCTGCTACTTCAAAGATACTCTCATTTCTACAGATAAAAGCAGTTCTCTGTTTGGCCTGTGGACTTCCAAATAGTAATTCAGAATATTCATATACCTATGAACTACCTCAACCTCCTAAAACATGTCTAAAATAAAATTGAGAACCTATAACATAATATGCAAATACATAATAAATATGTATAAAAATATACACAACCTTTGAGAATAAAATCCTAAATTGCACCTGATTCTGGAAGGGTAAAAAAAGAAACCTCTCTATCAAGATGCTGGTCCTAATCAAGTCAATGTATCAAGAAGAGTAATATTCAGCACTCCTTCCAAATAAGGCTTAAGACATCCAAAGCTCTGAACAAACATTGACTAATTAATCCTTACTGTGCATTTGACAAAGTGACTTTACTCTATTTTAAAGGATTAAAAAAAGGGGAGGGGGGGGAAGAAAAGAGAAAGAGACAAGACATAGCACTGTTTTCCAGCATAGCCACGGGCAGGATCCAGCACGTAGGAATACTCCTGTCTAATCAACCCTTTTGCCCAGGAGAGAAGAACTGGTTGGTTGAATAGTAGATGAACACTGTTTCTGCTAGCAACAGAGTTGGGCTTACCAACTCTTCATTAGAAAGAAGAGTAAGACTGTATAAGGATCTGCTATAGGTGTGTGCACGTACTTGGAAAGGGCCGGGGGAACACGTACCCTCCCCTTAGCAGAGCAAGCAATAGCTGCTGTCTGAGTCCTGCTGCTGCTCCTGTAGGAGCTGCAAATGGTATATTTACTCCTGAAAAACAGCAAACATCAAATACAAAGATGTGCGTATTTTAATTCCCAACCTCTGAGCAAACCTGTTAAACTGAAAATGGAGTCTGTAATCCTGTAGCCACCTATTCTTCCATCCAGAAGCTCTGGAACTTTTCCTCCTTCTTTGCAAAAGATGAATGAAAGCATATTTCATTTGCTTAACAAAGGATATTTGAGCAAGCAGTTAAATTAGATTAAGTTAGCTTTTTGTAAGGGAAAAGCGAATCTTGAATGCTTCAGGATGTATTGCTTAGTTTGCCAGAAAATTAGCACCCCCCTTTAACAGTTCTGTATACTAAAATCTTGAGCTGTACTTTTCACATCACTTGCCTTAATGCCCACAGAAATTACTTTTACTACCTAACTCATTATTTTATGCTGAGAAGCAGCTCTGGCAGTAAATAGAAACAACAGCTACATAATAACACAACACAGCCTTGGAACAGGTTGGCTATTTTCTCATTGCTTTCTTGTAACCCTGTTTCGATCTTAGAGTTTTCGCAGTGGCAGATGGCAGAGAAGAGTAACACAGCTATGTGGTGCAAGTTAGCACACGTGCAGTTACGTGCTTCACTAAGAGCTCTCTCATCCTTGTGATTCAGCGGTTCTTATCACTGATTAAGGAAAAAGGATTTTAGCAGGGCCAATATCCAACAGGCTGCGTGGTCATCCTCAGTGGGAAGAAACCATGAATTGTGGCATTTCATTTCAGAAAACACATCCTGCGGAACAGCCCTCTCTGTGCATTGGGGGAGGAACTCAATGATCAGACTTCCTCTTTCCTAATACCATTACTCTAGGATGTACACAAAGAAAAATCCCCCTCAGCAGCAATCCCTTTTGCCAGCAAAAGCACCAAGGTATAATTACACGTTTGAAATATGCAAAAACAAGGCGGCAGAGGTAGGGAACTGTCCCTTTCTATTTATTCTAATGCCCAAAATTGAAGTGGTAGGATTTCCACAGTTCCTTGAACAAAATAAACAAATTATGTGCAGCACACATCATGCATGTAGGTGTTCGCAGGGTTATTCTAACTGCTTATAAATTGCTTCATTTTGAACTATTTCAGAAAAACAGTTTAAAAACCTGTAAAACTACTATTACAGTATATTCTAACTGCAATCTACTATAAGGTCATTACAGCAAAAAACTGTATAAGGTCAAAACTCGAATTAAGTGATTTGAAAAATCACCTTTTTGGTGATGGCTCTATAAGAACTTTTGAGGGTTTTGCTGAAGCCTGATATGAACTTGCTCAACAATAATGATGTTGCAGGAGTGTGCACATTTCCCTTGTACTCTTTGTGACAGTTTCCATTGAGACGAAAGAAAAGAATACAAAGGCAAAAAAGGATTCTATTATCATAGAAAAACTGGGTATCCATATACGTCCCACCATAGTCTATGCTAAATATCAATGGAAATTTACTGCCAAAGTTACAATAAAACAGCAACATTAAAGCAACATCATTATACTATTGAGTATCTACATGTACTAGATCACCTACTGCTGGTAACGCTTGAGAGCAGGGATTCTCTGCAACTTTTTAACTGTATGGCCCACATCTCAACTCTCAGTTATTTCGCCTCTAGCTCTCTGAGCTTTCCAAAATCTGCAAGGCATTTGTAATTTATGTGCTGGGTGGATGGGCCATGGCTTTGGTGAGGGAGAAAGGGATCAAGAAATACATCTCGTTTAAGCAATGAACTAGTTCACACTGAAGCCAAGAAGCTGGGGCAAAGACAACCCTTTAACAACATCTGTATCAAAATTTGTCACTTTGATGTTGGAATGTGCGAATTTTGGGATTAGCAGCAGTGTGAATTTTTGTTTTAGAAGACTGCAAGTCAGCTGTCTGAGCTTTAACTTGATCCCTGAAGATATAAAGTTTTTTGAGGACTTCTCTTTCCCCAGGCATGGCTGTGGGACGCACGTGATGCCTGGTCTGAAGTGCGCTCCTGATGACAAGTGGGTGGTTTTGAGGTTTTATGCATCAGTATTTGTTGTAATGAACCGAGGTGCCCTGTATATGGTACTGAATGTACTAATGATGATCCTGGGTATCCCGGAACAGGTGACACTGAGGCTTTCTTAGATGACTTCTCCCTACAAGAAGCTAAGCTTTTAGCACTGATTAGTGGGACTAAACCAGCAGTCCAAGGCCAGAATCAAGGAGGCTGCAGGACAATTCACTGGGTACAGACGAGCGTACTGAAGCAAGGAACTTTTGCTTTTATGTGGTATATTCACATGAGTATGAGACTAATGCAGATTAATTTGCCTTATAACTGTTAGTTGAGACACACATACTGTATTAGACAGCCTTCACTAGAAGACATACAAGTTATAAATTAAGGTATAAGTAAGGTATAAATAAAAGGTATTAAAAAAACATATATAAGCTGTAAATTTGCAACCGGTATAGCCTAATACCAGATTACTATGTTCCAGATAGGAATTTAAGGAAATGCTATTTTCAATAAATTCTAATCACATAGATGCACACAAGATCTTTGGATAAGGAATAAGGATGTACACCAAATGGACCATTTGGCAGGTATATGCTCTCCTTTGAAGAAAAGCTTTCATCAACCAAAGCAAGGAAGGATGGGTCATGGGTGCCTCATAATTATCAATTTGATACAACTGAATACACTTTCAAAAGAGAGTAACAAACGACATTCCCAAGGCATTCCAGCCACTGCAGAGTAAGTATCATGTCATCACTGAGAGTTACTTCCCTTATATTATTTGTCATATTTGCAGATTAGTATCTGGAAATAGAACTAGGTCCTCCATAAATTTTGTTATCAATTCTGATATTCAGCATGTATATTAGGATGGAAAATAATTTGCTGACAGGTCTTCTAAGCCCTGCGTGCTCAGGTTCATACTTCTGCAAAACTGTCATGTTACAGTTTAACTACTTTTATATACTCGTGTAAGTTTTTAATGCATCTATGCCTTACAGTACTGGGAGATTTTAAAGTCTAACAACTAAGCCAAATGACTGCAGTAATTTTGTCTAGCCTCTTGGCTGACCACCAGATTAGTTCCAACTCTGCAAAATTCAAAG